TCCCTCCTGGACCTTTATTTGGAGAGAGAAGAGATTTGATCCATTGTAAATACTGCTTTATCATGGTAGAGATACTTGAGATTGTGTGTGTAATGAAATGTAATATTTATGTGTACAGTCATTGTAATATACATATTCCCTTCCTCCCATTTTGAGTCTTGTGTGGCGTCTGGAAAACCCATCTCACACTGGGCTGAGATGTGGGAGGGGGGCTTGGACTAGGGAATTAGATTTTGGGGCTCTCAAACCACAACAGATGTGATGATTTTTATTAAGACCATTTTTCAATTTCCTTTCTTTTATTGAAAAAGGAAAGGTACAGAGTGATAACACTCATATTTATTTCTTTTTACATCTTCTCTCTCCTAACATAAACACTTACTGTATAAAGTAAATAGATCCATGCTGTGCAATACTTCTATAAAGAAACTTAAAGCAATAAAAAATCATGTGGTTTGGGCTTTAAAGAATCAAAATATTCAAAAACTTAACACTCACTGAGATTCAGTCCTGCTTCAGCATCCTCATACATGATACTAAAGAACATAACTGTTTTGGTTCCCTCCTACATAATTTCAAATCAGGAACTTAAAGATGAAGAAAAGAAAGTTATACAGCAGAAGGAAGGGTGCACACAATTTACTACTACTGTAGGAAAGTACCATAAAATGCACTAAACCCTTTGTCTGTGTTTGACTTATTTTAGCAGCAATCTAGCTCCATTGAGAAGCTTGCCAATGCCATTTTTGTTCTGCAGTTATTGGTAGATTCTCATGGATGACAGAGATCCTTTAATACTTCTGAACATATACAAAAGCCCATGAAGTTCTACATATATATATATGTGTATATATCTATATATCTATATATCTATATATATGCATACAGATTATCTGCAGCAGCTATTACAAGGTTATCTTGAGATCAGAGCATGATGAGGGATCGATACTCTATTCTTTTGCAATTTGATTGCATCATGGTTATTAGAGTGGCTGCCCTTTTGACCCCTTTCAAATTGTTTCAGCATGTGCTTTCTCTGATCCTAAGCCAATAAAAGTTCCAGAATTTTACTGTCTGACTCCTTCACTCTTCAGTGACACCTGACTTTATTTTCATTCCCCTAATATTAAGGTACCAACAAGAACTGAAAGTATCTGAATCATCATAGCCATGTTACTGGGTTATTAGTCTTGTGGTAAAGAGCCATAAGCACATTTTCAGTCTTCCTCAAAGCATCTCAGGTTAAATCACCATGACAATAAGCACTGTTGCATAACAACATGGGAACCCCAAAGGGAGTAGCTGGTGTGTTTTCTCCTATTGTTTTGCAAAGCATTCAGCTTAGGAGTTTCTATATGGCTGCCATGTTTTCTTTTCCTAAAACTTCACCCTCACCAAGCCGCACAACAACCATTAGCCAACATGCTCCAGCATTTTCTGAAATAGTTCACACTGATAAACATTACTGAATACCAATTCTGGAGTATTTTGTTCCTCTAAGTCCACCATGTAAGACACTAAGAATGCAACTTTAAACTGAATATTATCTTCACTAAGACAGTTTTCTTACAGCTTGCCTTTTGATGTGCGTGTAATATGTATGTTATTGTCTGAATGTAAAATGTATGTTGAAGTACTTTAAGTGGTAAAAGATAACTGTTAGTGTCCATACAGTTTTAGTTTCAGTATGCAAAGAAAACGGCCCTAAAGGCAGAACATGCTACTGTAGGTAATGTTTTCACTGTTAGCATATGGGTTTCATCCTGTGTGAACGTGTGGTTTCTTATGGTATGTTCAAGTGTAGCACCTGTCAGGGCAACTATTCTCGCAAATTGCTGTCAGATCAGTTTATTAAGCAGTAAGTTTTATGTTTGCCTTCTATTGTATGCAAGGTTACATTTCACTGCAAGGAGTTTGGGGACCCCAGACTGAATTCTAAAATAAAAAAAAAATCACTCATTTTCATGTATACAGTTAGAAGACACTGCTAAAAATTAGCACAGGCTCCATATTCATTTACTCTCAAAGAAAGAAAATCCCAAATTTCTCACTTTCTCACAGTTTTTACCCACCAATTCCCTTATTATATATGCAGTTACTAGAGTTCCATAATCAGAATTACAGATGGATTTCCACTGATCTTTTGCATAGCATTTCTGCTTCAGGTGTTTTAGACAACTCTTCCTTTTGGTCTTAAATGTAGAAATATCTCCTGCAACTGGGTCATTACATCTTGGCACAAGTACATGGACTAAAGATATTGTAAGTAATATTTCTGCAAAATAAGCACACAATGCTCAAAAAATAATTTGAACTTACAGAGTGGTTTTTTCTTTTAATTTTTAGAAGAATCCAGGGAGAGGAGCATGCATCAAGACAGGCAGGCTCTTCTCAAATACATTTTTTTTCTGATAGTTGAACAAAAATGTCATTGAATGTGTTGGGTGGCTTTTCTGAACTAAATTTGCACTGAAATATGGAGAGGAGAAGGCGATACTTTAAAATTATACAACTGGCATATTTTTAGGCACAAGAAGATCTGAAAACAAAATTATTTTACAGTTGCTTCTTCTGTATTTCAGTATTCCTCTACACTGACCATTATGTTCCCAGTACTGAGAGCACTTTTTTAAACACTCATAGCATACATTTTTCTGTATATGAATGTAATGTTTTATTTCTGTATCTGAGTTGTGACAGCCCTTGACTTTCAATCCAATTAACTGAGTCATACTGTTATAAAACTCCAAGGAGAAAAAAATATCAGCCCTATAAACTTAGAAATAACAGGATTGTACTCTTTTTCTTTGAAGGACGCACTTCTCTTTCAACTCTATTACTTCCTTAATATTTTATAGGTTCAAAATGAAAGAAAAAAATTGATTTTGAATTCCACTGGGTGGTATATTTAGGAAGAGCTACATGCATATAGCTTATAGCAGTTTTCCAGATATACGTGCTCTGTGTGTAAGGATTGAACAGATGAATATTCTTTATTTTACTTATCCTTACCATATGGTCTCTTTTTATAGAATAAGTGAGAGAAATTAAAACTTTTGCTCTTATGTATCATTTAAGCAAAACCAGAGAGGGTTATTGAGTATCAGCTGGTATGCACAAAAATGCCCAAGAGTTATGTGAAAATCTTCTTCCTGAAAGTGAGGATGATGGTCTGGGAAATGCAAGTTTCTTTCAAGACCTTCAGTCACATCAAGTGTTTTAAATCAGAGCCACTCAGGTGTACTTCTGAGGGAAGCAACTCTGAATGTCAGTAATGGATATATGAGATCAATGCATTGCCAAGAACAGACTATGTGAATGGGCAAGGATGTTTGGAAGATGCAGTAGTTTTCCTTTTTGTAAAGTTCTGTCTAATCACATATAGCAATTTAGGTTTGGGCAGACTTTGGAATCTGCAAGAATTGTACCTCAAAATAGAAATAGTCTGTGGAAATTCAAAACTAAATGCCCACATGTGAAACAAAAAGTTGACATTAGAAAAGGTAGATTTTGAAAAGAGGGAAACAGAAAAAAAAACTCAAACAAAACCCAATGGGGTATAAATGGATTTGGTGCACAAATTGATAAAAAGCAAAGAACAGAAACAAGGTACCAGAAGGGTGGGGAGCAGGAGAAATTCAGGGTGTATAGTGTAATCCAGTCAACTGCAGATACTTATTTCAATAATCACAAAAGGAGTTTTTTAATATTCCGTGGAGCAGAGAAACATACACCACTGACCAAATGCATCCCTCTCACCTGAAGGGAAACAATCAGAATAAGTAGCTGATTGTTAGTCTGATGTTGCTAAAGCCTGAGTTATGCTTTGGTCATCTTTGTAGTTTTTCTTGATAATAATTTTCCTTTCTTTTAATCCCTTTGCTATTAAATAAGTTTCATAACTGAGAAGATAATTTTTATTTTAATAATCATGGTCTTGTACTGAATCATTAGCAATCTGTCATTTTAGAAGCAAGCACAGCAAGGATTTCCCTGAAAGCTCCTGCACCTTTACTATTCCTTCAGCTCTTCAATATTTGCTGGTTTTATTATTTTGTGTAATATTTTTAGTACACACAGAGAAAGATGGGATTTGCTGTTGGTTTGTTTCTTCTAATGACAGATTCTGAAGAATCTCTTCTGATCTGAAGCCACAAAGCAAAAGTGGCAGCAAAATGAGCACTACTGACAAGAGTTCTCTGGCATAAAAATAAGGTATTTGGAAGAGAGAAACAACAGCTGAGCAGAGTGAGTGACTAAAAGAAAAGTCTCTCATTGCCACTCGAGCTTGACATATTGTGTCATGAGCTTTCTAAGTAGAAATTGTGTGTATTTGAGTATAGAAAGGATGATAAAATGCAGTCTGTACACTCATCTTCATTCAGGGTTGAAATGTGCTTTCAAAAGCAGTATGATAGTGTTTAAAAATAAAGCTATACTAAAGAACAAATAAAAAGTTTCTCCAGCCGCTTATAATAATGAGTTCTGTAGGATCATGTCACATGGTTGTTCCAAAGTTCTTTACAAAACCTGAAATCCAGAGTTTTCCTTTCATGCCTTTCTGGACTGAAAAGGTAACATAACAATTACATAATAAAATCAGTCTGGGAAGAGCAAATATCTTTGATGCTTACTTCCTGCAGATGAACTAAACCTTTTACTAGTAAACCTTATCTCTTAGGTCTGTGACGTTATAGTACATCCAAAAACGGAGGAGAAGAGGCTTAAACAACACAAGCTCTTTGAGATTTTCATAGTGTTACCTTGTATGGATTGCATTAACTGTTTCTCTAGCACTTGGCTTGTTTCTGTTCTCTGTTACAATTTCCCTAGCTCTGTATCCTAGTTTTGCGGTTGCTCTCTACAGAAGAATTATAGTTTTGGGTTTTATTCATCAGATCTAGATTATATTGCTATTGCACTTTTGCAATAGCTGGTCTCTGCTGTTTTGATTCATATGAGGTATTTAAAATTGCAAACTGTTATGAACAAAGACATAATTTTTAAGATAAGTGGCTCTGGACTTTACAGATGATAACAATGCGAACACAAAAATGCCAGATTTAGTCTTGGATTTCTGTTTGTATTCATGTCCCTTGAGTCTCATGCAATCACTAAACAACAATGGATGATTCTGATCAGGCAAAATTTGAACAACTGACCATGCGGTCTACGTGTGGAATGCTCTGTAACCCATAACCTTAGACAATAAGTATATGTTAAGTACATGGAGATAAGAGTTCATCTAGGAGTTAATAACAAGAATAAAATTCCAATTTGGTATTCCCAGGTACTTTGTGTGTTAAAAGTTATTTCTAAGTCATTATTTTACACGGTCTATCAGTGAAGAAATAGAAGGCACTTATAATTCAAAAGTGGAGATAACTATCATACTTGTGAATAAAATGCAACAAGTCAACGTCAATCTCTCTCATACACTTTGACCATCTCTTGGTTTACATCCAGATCTGCAGTACCCAAAACAGTGGGAGAGGGCATTGAATTTTCATTTTTGTAGTAAAAAACATCATGAAATGCTATTGATATTGATGCACAGCTGCTGAAGAAAAAAAGACAGTTTTTGGAAGGAACAGTATCAGATTTTTTTTTTCACTGAAAAATAGTGATTTTCCAGACCGCAATGTGCTGGAAGAAAACTGAGTATTCATCTAAATATATGTGTAGTGAGTGTCTGAGCTGGGTCAGGATGGGTAGCTCTCCACTGTGGTGCTAGCAGGCTGATCAGTAGCTCTACTCTGTGGGAAACAAAAAAAATTCTTTTCATCACAAACTCATAACTTCCTGAGTCAGTATTTTCATGCCTTTATCTTCTTTCTGATAATTTTCAATATAGCTTAATATGAATGCAGTTCTTATTTATGTATTTTAATGAATGAAAACCTTCGTAAAATTAGAGACATAAACACGTAAAATAGACCAAATATAAATACTGCCAAGCTGCATGTAGATTTGCAAGTGTAAATTACTCCATTTGGAGATCTGAAGAGTCACATGACCAGAGGCACAGTTACTATTAAAAAAAATTAGAAGCTTTTAAAACATAAATGGCATACTTAATTTTGTTTCAGAATATATTTTCTTCATTTATTTTGACTACCCTTCTATTTTTGCTGTTGCAAAGCTAAGAAAAATGGAGGAAATTATTTTGCTTTTGTGATAATCCAACACCAATTGACTTTGACTCTGGAAGGTAAATTTGGCAACCACAATTTGGTCATATAGCAAAATGTGGTCCTAGTTTAAATGTAGATACTCCCCTACCACAGTTTAATATTCTGTGGGATATTCTAATATCAGAAAGCTGGGCCTGTGCAGTCTAGAGAATAGAAGACTGAGAAGGAACCTCATTAATGCATAAAAATGTCTCAGAGGTAGGTGTCAAGAGGATTCCTTTCAGTGGTGCCCAGTGCCAGGATGAGGAGCAATGGCCATAAACTAAACCACAAGAAGTTCTACCTGAACATGAGGAAGAACTTCTTTACACTGAAGGTGGTAGAGCACTGGAACAAGCTGCCCAGGGAGGTCATGGAGTTTCCCTTTCTGGAGACATTCAAAACCTACTCTAGATGGCCCTGCCTTGGCAGAGGGATTGGACTAGATGATCTCCAGAGGTCTCTTCCAACCCTAACGATTCTGTGATTCACACATATCCACAAAATATGCAAAATGTAATGCAGCACAAACTAGTTAACTTCGTCATAGCTAACTTCATTTCTCATTTTTAATCTCAAAACCTTAAATTGCAGTAGCAGGTCTTGTATTTATTAAAAAGGTAAAATAAACTAAAGCACCAGTCAGCTTAAATAATACAAGAAAAGATAAAATTTATAATCTGATTATGTGAATGTAAAAGATACTTAAATGTTCTTAAGAGGAATGAGCTAATGTTTCTTTCATAGATAACACTATGGCTGAAAATAAAGAACATATTTAATAATCCAGTTTCCAGTTCCCAAGTAACAGCAAATTCTCTTTTACTTTAGAGAATATTTAGCTTTCTATGGTCTAGAAACCATAGAAACCTCTGACATCAGTAAGTTCTGACTCTTTTTTGTCTTGTTTTGTCTTGCTTTCTGGTCTCAATTTTGCAACTTTTGCCACATAGATGTCTGAACCTATCTGCTTTTGTGAAGCACCAGTTAACACAGTGGGCCACAGCAATGCATTAGCTTCTGTGAAATATGTCTTTTTATACAGTATTTTAAATGAATCATTGAAATACTAAGAGTGTCATCCTTCTTGCTCACTAAGTGAAGTCACAGACTACAGGAATTTATTATTGGTTTTGGAAGGAAGTGTACCACAGTGCTTAGTTCTTATTTTTGTACTATATTTAAACATGACGGAATCAACAGCTATAGTCTGGACAAAAATTTGATTTGTAGGCAGCTTAGAATTAGCGGTGTGCTGGCAACACTTTAAAATAACTAGCATGTCATGTGGCTGGTGTGATTAATGTCCAGAATAAGTTATGTCCCAAGGTATGCATTATAACAACAACAACTTTCATAGGTTTTTTTTTTCTTTGTTATTTTATAATGGCAATATACAGTTCTGCAGAAAATACCTTTAATTTAGAGTGGTCATTCATTAAAAAATATTGATAAGAGGATACAGGTGAAATGTGATTTAAAATTGGAAATCAGATAATTAACCTGTAATTATATTTAGGTCTGTGCTTAATTTTAAAACATATAATATAAAAAAAAAAAGGAAAAAATGTTTGTACAGCAATTAGATTGAAAGCTAAAAAAATTAAATAAGACAAGGAATGATGGGTACAAATGGAAAGAGAGAAAATTTAAGATAGATATGTTAGGAAGCAATTTTTCACTATAGGGGTGGTTTAGACACTGTAATAGGTTGTCCAGAGAGCTTGTGGATGCCCCAATCCTGGCAGTGTTCAAAGTCAGGTTGGATGAGGCCTTGGGCAACTTGGTCTAGTGGGAGGTGTTGCTGCCAATGGCAGAGGATGGGTTGGGACTACATGGTCTTTAAGGTCCATTTCAACCTCTTAACATACAATTTTATGATTCTATGTGACTACTTAGTTTGTCAGATAGACCCTTGTGTGTCTAACTAGTGTTAATAGAAACTGTCTCAAATTACTAGAGACTACAGAGATTATTCTTATCAAGAAAATAATCCATCATTTATCATTTAAGCATATAATTTGACATAATAGTGTCTGTCAAATGCAAAGACCTGCCTGTTTACTAGTGCGTTATGTACTTGAAACACCATCTGCTCTGTTTTGTCTTGCCTACCTTCTTTTTTACTTGATATGTATTTTTTCAGTTTTGTTTTCTTTTTCATTTTGTTTGAGAGCTGGATTTAATTCTCACTGACATGAGTGGAAGGACTCTTACTGACTTCTAAAGGCATTGACTAGGATCTCATCTCTACCAGCTTACTCTTTTGAGCTCTTAAGTCACAGGTCAATGTACTGCCTACATAACCTGTTTCTTATTCCTAAATCCGTATCTCTGTCTCATTATTCTATTTTCATGTTTTTAACCTTGTGCCAATCCAAATGAAATAGCTTGACTAATCAATTTTTGGTCTAAAAGTCATGTTTTCTTTTATGCCTGTCACCCAATTCATTCTGTTAATTTCTTTTCAAATTAAAACCCCTCAAGATTTCAAATATTTTATATGAACAAATCTTTCTTGACCACATAACCTTAAACAATGCCTTCTGTGAATGTACTTTATTTTTCACTCAGATTCTTCAGTTTAAGTTTTTCTTGGCTTTTAGTTTACTTTTTCTTTTACTTTCCCAAGCTGTACTTTTTTGTTTCCTTTTGAAGTTATTAGATTTTTTTTATTTTGAATAAGGCAGGTGTGGATACTGGGTTTTCTCTCCCAAGGTTCTAGGGTTACTAGCAAAACACGAGTCGATGAGTAATAATAATGCAACATGTTGTTGCAAAGTGTGGAATATTGTCTTCGAATGAGATTTTTAAATCTATTTTAAGCTGGTTGACTAAGACCTCCCTAGTCATTGAGAAAGAACACTTAACCGGGGGAATAAACAGTTAGCATCCCTTAGTCAAGGACATCCTGGAATTAGTAAACGTAATAAATCAAGATGATGTTGTACGTCTGTGTATACATTGTTAACTTGGCAGACATCTTAAGATCTATGCATCCTTTAGCTGAACTATCTTCATTATAATACTAAAGATCACACCTACAGGTCAAAGAGACCCCTGATAAGGTGAAGACCCTTCCCTTTGGCATGTATAGAAGTTAGCTGTGATTACAAAGCTTGTATGGAAACTACTAACCAATAATAATAGAGAGTGTACTTGGAAAGGTATTAACCCTGAAATTCTGAGTTTAAACAATGGTGTGGAAAGTCCTGTTGCCTCACGTGATTTGTGGAAAATCACTGAGCACCCAGGCCTGAGTAAATCTGAAATAAATAATCAATGTCTTTCTCAAGTGTGTAATTACTGGTTTGTTGCACACCAGGTAACGAATCCAATTTTCTGGACAACAATGTTGCCAACAAAAGCTGCAGGGCCCAGGAATCTCCTCCCTTTTCCATATTAGTCAAAGTAATTGGTAAGATCAATTCTAAACACAGCACACACCATTAGCATACTAATGATAATGCAACCCTTTCTAGATCACTGAGCCTGTATTGCACAGGAGTGCTCCAGCAGCTGTATCTGCTTTGCACACCCTCTCTTCATGGTAAACAATCATTGTGTATGGTTGGTCTGTCCCAGGAGAGGGCATCCACTTCCTCTTGCTCTCTGGGTTTGCTGTGTCAGAGAAGGCATTACTAGACACAAAGCAGCCTTTTTTTCACTTTCTATTTAGCCTTTTCATTGCAGGAGTGTCCCTGACAGCTCCAGTTTATCTCCCTAAACCACATCTTAGATATCATGATCCCCTTCTACAAGCTCAAATCAAGATCATCAACAAATAAAAATATTTTCAAACAAATGAACAAAACCCACCACCAAAAAAAGTCATACTT